TGACTAAAGTAGGAATTTTCTCATATTGAAGAAATTATTCATGCTGAATAATTCCACGAAATTAAAATAAATATCAATAACCAAAATACAACAAACAATTAAATCACACAGCTCTAATCAAGGGCAAAAAACTTTTGACGCTTGTTCATCAAATATGCATCAAGTTAGAACTTGTCTGAGATCTTATCAATTCCAATGATCACATCAAGTTTCATCAGAATCAGTCGAAAACTGTAGCGTCAATCCTGCTCACAAACTATTTTTAACAAATTTCAACACGTTTTAACAAAGTCAAGGGCAATCACTCAAAAACCGTTCATCAAAAATGCGTCAAGTTAAAACTTGTCCGAGATCTTATCAATTCCAATGATCACAGCGAGTTTCATCAGAATCGGTTGAAAACTGTAGCTTCAATCCTGCTCACGAACTATTTTTAACAAATTTCAACACGTTTAAACAAAGTCAAGGGCAATAACTCAAAAACCGTTCATCGAAAATGCGTCAAGTTAGAACTTGTCCGAGATCTGATCACACCAAGTTTCATCAGAATCGGTTGAAAACTGTAGCTTCAATCCTGCTCTCACACCATTTTTAGCAAATTTTGACGTGTTTTTACAATGTTAAGGATATAACTCAAAAACCGTTCAACGAAAATGCGCCAAGTTAGAACTTGTCCGAGATCTTATGAATTCCAATGATCACACCAAGTTTCATCAGAATCAGTCGAAAACTGTAGCGTCAATCCTGCTCACAAACAATTTTTAACAAATTAACAGTATAGTGATATGATAAAATTGACAACCTATTGCAATATTTGGCCAAATTCAAAACTTATGAAAACATACCTTTCTTGTAATGCAAAATTTAATATACAAAATGTATAAATTTAGATTTAGATTTTTACATATTTATATATATGAAATGAATATATCAAATTGATGCCAGTGGGTTCAATCTCTAGTTGTATCGTGATAATTGTAACAATTGGTTAAAGTTCATATGGGCACTGAAAGGCAAATCAGTTATGTTGCATGTTACTTATATATATTTACATCAGCTATTGTTTTGTCCATTGGACTGATGCAAATTTGTGTGGCATTTATATCACAATATATGCCAATGCCTCATCACCAAAACATCAGGCGTAGTAATTTTAATTAATGACATCTTTATTCATTGACGTCATTGTATCAAATAGACAGTTTCCAATGTAAACGGGCATTTATTCAATTTTCCAGCCAACCTTTGTCCTGATATACGACCATAGTTTATTGCTTAAAAAATCTAACAATATTGGCTCCTGATGTTGCATAATTGTGTGTATCAGATGCTATTTATCTTGTAAATGTACAGAATTATTGTGAAGATAGGTCACAGGTCAAAGTTAAGTAAGTGTTATAAACTAAGGAATGTAAATATATAGTAGAGAAAAGAAGCAGATGTTGCAGTTTCATCATAAATTGTACATACCTTGGGTTGCCACGTAATGCTGAATGATGTAATGCAGTAAAACCATTATTGTTGGCGATAGTAATGTCACCATTATGCTCTAATAATAATGTGATCATATCATCTCTTTTTTTACTGATAGCATCATGTAGAGCTGTATCACCTTCAGAATCCTGAAACATCAGAGTTATATTGGAGTAATGCTGTATTACAATGTGATACTAAAACCAATATGTGGATTTCAATAACTTTATGATGAGAAAAAAAGCCCTAACAATTAATTAGGAATATGTTCATTTCAAACTTTCAGGAATACATGAAGGTCAAAACCTAAAGTCTGGCTATAGACATTTCGTTGGTCAAAGATAGCTTGGCAGGCAAGGTAATATATGCCCACTGGCAACTTTGATTTTGAATAAAAATATTTAGCAGTATAGTAACAATCACCAGTATGAATAACCAACCTTCCGTTATACACTTCTTTTGAACTCTTTAGGGCGATACTGAATAATATTGAGTATGAGTTGTTGCAATTGTTCTTAAAAACGTGTTCAACTTTTAGCACGTGAAAACCCTAGAAGGAAAATACTCAGCGCAGGACTGAATAATATAACCAAGTCTTGTCGAAATCCAGCAAGAATCATGCTTTTTAGTGTTTACGAGCTAAAAATTGAACGCATTTCCAAGAACAAGAGCAATAACTCATACTAAATATTTTTTGATTCTTCTGATTTTCAATAGGGTTCATCCTTGGGTTATTAAGAACACTCATGCCAAGACGGACCGACGGACATTTGTGACCGCAATATACACATTAACAGCTTAAAAATTTTTTTTTTTCCTCACATGATAGACTCACTTTAATAACAATTAGAGACTAGAACCACTCGTGGTACTGAGTGGGACTTTGCTCTTGTGCCAATCTGCTAGAGAATCTGAAAAAATCAACGTTCTTGGCCAATTAGGTCACGTGCTAAAGCAGTTAAAAATTTTGAAAATTTCGCTTTTTTGGAAGGTTGTTAAAGCGAAAGTTGAAGCCAGACATAAAATATAAAAATATGATTAGATTTCCAAGGTCAATGACCTTTGACCATATTAAGGGGAAGGTCATTTAAGGTCAACGTCACTAGATATGAGTCATCAAACTTTGAAAATACAAACATTATAAAACCGGAAGTTGACAATGAACATCAAATATGAAGGAATAAATCTTTAGCCAAGGTCAATGACCTTCGATCCTACAAAGGTCAAGAACATCAATGGTAAAGGTCAAAAGTTGAAAATATGCCTGTTCGTTTTTTTGAACTACGAGGCGGAAACAACTGACCTTTTCACACAAAATGGCCAAAGGGGTGAGGTAATTGTGTGCAAGGTCTTGTTTTGAACAAATGTATGTTATACAAGTTATACCCCTGATAAAAATTATATATCACTGGAAAGAGCACGATGAGCACATACAGAATCCACAAAAATTTACCCTCAAAGTTAATTAGGTCACGAGCTAGAGCAGTCGAAATTTGCGAATTCGGATGTTTTTGGACAGCTATAAAAGCGGAAGTAGACGTCAGAGGTCAAATATGAAAGCATAAACTAATAGACGTCAATGACCTTTGACCCAATAAAGGTCAAGGTCATCAAAGGTCAAGTTCAAAAATTGAAAATTGTGAATTTCCAAAACCTGTTCCTTTTTTTGAATTATAAAGCTGAACTAACTGACCTTCTAAGACAAAGTGGCTCACAGGATGACGTAATTGTGAGCAAAGTTCCATTTTGAACAAATGTATTCTTTGGGAGTTATGCCTTTGGCCAAAAATGTCAATAATGAATAATTTAACCCGGATGTGCCACGCCCACCTCAATTTTTTTTTGCATAGGTTAACTGATATTCAAATTGTGATGCTATGTTCAAAATGTCAAGCTTCTACATCATAAAGGTCAAAAGATATAGGTCAACAAAAGTCAAAAAAGGTCAAAATCAAAAATTGAAAATATGGAAATTTTAAAACCCGTTCCTTTTTTGGAACTATAAAGCTGAAATAACTGAGTTGTTAACACAAACTAGCCAAAAGGATGAGGTAATTGTGTGCAAAGTCCCTTTTTGAACAAATGTATCCTATGCGAGATATGCCCCTTCCTCTAAATGTAAACAATTAGTAATTCAACCCGGATGTGACACGCCCACCTCAACGTTTATGTCATAAGTGAATTCATATTCAACATGTCTAGTTGTGTTCCAAATTTCAAGGTTCTACATCAAGTAGATCATAAGATATACATACACCAAGCTCAAAGAGACATAAATATGGTAAAAAACCACTCGAATTTGAAAAAATCAAGAATTTCAATTTTGCTTTAAAAGTACGATTGTTATATATCACTGGAAAGAGCATGGGAAGCACATTAAGAATCCGAAAAAATTGACCCTTTAGGTTATTTAGGTCATATGCTAGAGCAGTCCAAAGTTGCGAATTTGGCTGTTTTCGGAACGCTATAAAACCGGAAGTACAGCTCGGAGGTCAAATGTCAAAGTATCAACTGATAGTCAAGGTCAATGACCTTTAACCCTATAAAGGTCAAGGTCATCAAAGGTCAAGGTCACGAGATAGAACTTGCAAAAACTTCAACTGGAAGTTGCAAAAAATGAAAAGCGAAATTCAAAAATCAGCTGCCTAGTTTTTGTTGGCAATCGATTGTAGATTACATACACATCAAAATTATACACGCCCATTTCTTCATAGAGGCCCCATTTTTCGATTTACAAAAGTGTGTTTTTTCAATATGGCGACCAAAGTATCACTTCCGGTCTGGATTTTTTTTTCTTCGTTTTTTTGTAATAGCATTTACTTACGAACAGCATAAATTTCGTTGACCTATTTCAATTACACCGGAAGTTATTCGACTGGAAGTGGATTGTACTTTCAATTGATTCCCCGTTTAAAACCGGAAGTAAAGTTAAATATTTCACAACTACATATTATTTACTTTAGTGATACCCCTTTGCATATTAAATTTCAGATCAATCGATGGAAAAACAAAAAAGTTGCAAAAAAATTGCAAAATTTGATCGAAAAAAGTGAGCGACAAATTTTCGAATTTCGTAATTTCTATCAGATCAGAAATTACAGACACATTCTAAAAATAAAAGTCCGCAGAAAATCGATGCAAAAATACGCCCTCTAGAGCCGATTTTCGACTTTTTGCACATGTTGAACTGTGGCACTTCCGGTTTTGCAAAAATGTTCCAATATATATTTAAGGAACACGTTGCCACTACAGAAGGTCTAGAGAAGTTGAATGGTTGCTGCAACTACTGCAGTCTAGGCTCAGGAAGGTGTGTAAATTTCGCAAAAAAAAAAAAAAAAAAAAAAAAAAAAAAAAAAAAAAAAAAAGAATTGACATTTCGATAACAAATTGGGACTTTTGTCCCACAAAAAATAAAAAACAAGCATGATCTCTACCATGATATTGTTTTTTTTTTTTTTCATATTTCTAGAATTTTCAAACAGATCATGTACCAGTCATTATGCTATTTATAAAGTTTGTAGGAATTTCTAGTAAACAGCTTGTCTAACTGCTGTAAAATAATACACACTTACTTGTAAACTCGGATGACATCCCAGATCTAATAACATTCTAACTACACCAATATGACCTTTATTAACTCCAATATGTATTGGTGTTTGTCTACGTTTATTACGAGCATTTAGATCAGCATTACCACGATGTAGTAAATCTATTACAGCTGGCTCATCACCAAACGCTGCATGGTGTACAGCCCTATCACCATCTTTATCCTGTCAACAGAAACAAAATAAGAATTTTGACAGATGTAGTTCACTGACTGATTTGATTTGGTCTGATTTGTAAGTGTGCACAGTACTGATTGTCATATATGAAGGCTCGTTTGGGTTTTTTTTTTCAATTGATATATATCATAAAAGAATAGGTTTCATAGTGTCTTCATCAGGCTAATGGTCAAAAAGTAACAAACAGGAACCAGATAAGAATCACCTCTACTTCCATATCAACTTTATATTTCATTAAAACTTTAATAACTTCTATATGTCCATTCTGACTAGCAGCTTGTAGAGCTGTATGACCAGCAAATACACCATTAGCCTGTATGGTAATGAAACATACATTTTAATCATCAAATTTCTATATAAATGACAAAGGATGTCGTTGAAACATGTTATTGCGTTATTAATCATCAAGAATGTTGGTATAGAATTGAATTTTCATTGGGCTCATCTACCTGTGTACCAAATTTCATAGCTCAAGCTTAATTGAATAGGATTAAACTGCTTTCAAAAGACATTCTGTATGACCATGTGTCAAGTTACAACTGTGTTATTGGTATCAAAACTGAGCGCAATGAGGCAATTTTAATCTATATTCAAACTTTAAGTTCTAATCAGATCTGCTATGTATTTAATAGTCAACTTTCTAAAAAGTGACAAAATGATACTCACATCTGCCTCTGGTCTCTGTAATATTTCATCAACTTTAGAAGCATCACCATTAGCAGCTGCTTTCACTAGTTCTTCATTAACATCACCAGATACGTGGGTTTCAAATAATTTCTTTAACAGAGCACTTAATCTTTCTGTAATAAAATTGGAAAATTCTAAATAACACTCAGATACAATTTTGCCTCTTTTCATCAAGTTCAAACTAAATAGTTGCACTCTTTAGAAAATTGTCAAATGAACAGATTTGTTGAAGATAAAAAAAAAAAAAATTTTTATACCCCCAGAAGAACATTCAATAGCAGCACCATCAGCTGAAGCAACTTTAGTCACAGCAGAGGGATTGTATGTCCATGATGTACCACAAACTTCCACTTTTAAATCATTATCATGATAAATCTGTTGTACTCGGCCAATTCTACCTACAGTCTGTAATTATATTCCAGAATATATGACATTATTATGTAATATTGGCTTTGCTAATAGATATCAATTTCATCTTTCAAAAACGATTTTATCAAAATCAATTAAAATTCAAAATATAATATTGCATACAAATTTTTAAAATTCTATTTTGCCAGTAAGCTAAGAATGTCTTATATTATTATTCCCAAATAACTAAATAAGGTTTTCATTAAGATGTATGAAAATGTTAAATAGTCAAGAGTTTTTCAGTATTTACCAATTAGCTCTACAAGTGCTTGAATGTCCCTTTTATAATTCAAAAATGAAATATTTTAAATCTTAGATGCATTAATTAATATAGATACTTCCAAAAAATAATGACAGCCAAAAGACCCCTACTTACTGGTATCATAGCCTCTGCCCATTCTCCATGTCCTCTCTGTAAAACTTTAATTCTTTCTACATCATTACAGATCTGAACTAAATCACCCACGGCAAACTGAACCACCGTTGGTGTTTCTGATGTCACAGATGTTGAACTACTTGGGGTATTGACTTTGGTTAAAACTGCTGGATTAAAGGTCCATCTGAAACAAAGAAGTACTGCTGTCAATTTGTTGTGACCTCAACACTGACTGAAGTTTGGCAATCAAAGTGAAGATTTAACTTCTGTTAAACTTTTCTGGTTTAATTTCTGAGTGTTTTTATCGGTTTTTTTTTGTATGATATAATTGATGATACACTTTCATTAGATATATTGTGCCATCTAAGACATACAGATTGCATATCTTATATCAATATTGAGTGTATAATACACAGCTCTAACACAGTATCTAACATGGGTTACATTGGGTTAATGAAACTGGTCAATACTTACCTATTACCACTAGGATAAGAGACAACAATATCATGATCTTCATCTATACCAACTACAGTCCCTGTAGTACCTAAACACTACAATAATACAAAATCAATTTTCACATCTCAGACACAATAGTGGAGTGTTTTTCAATTGTAAAAGTAAGTACAAAAGAGAGAAAATAGTTCACTTAATAGCTACAGACACCAAGCTTTAATCTTAAAGAAATGAGTTTTAATATGCCTATTCCCGTTAATTCATCTTGGTACTCTTATCTATTCCAATCAATAGACACTTTGTTGATCTACTTGAATTTTCATCAGCGATGGTTCCAAAATTTATTTTAAATACCTCAAACATGCCATCTGTCCAGCCACCATGACCATGTTGTAAAGATTGAACTATTTCTAAATCTAAATCCACATTAACTTGATCTCCTATAGCTAATCCACATGGTCCTGATCTAGATCCTGACCCCTGTTCACCTGAAAGTAACAACATAAAGTAGACTCAACCATTATTTTTGGTATGAATTTTAAATAATAACAGGCTCCCCAAGACAGCGGGCCTCTAGGTAAATACATACTTAATGTAGTCCTGGGTACGGCCAATCAAGCCATCTATATCGTATTGTGAACCTTGTATCGTGATTTGCGCATCACTATATCGCAATATGGGATAACTGGATTACAATTAACATTTTATCTTCAAAGTTTCCATATAAATTTATAACTATAACTGTGATATTTGGTAATGCAGTCTTATAAATTGTTGTCAACAATTTCAGTCAAGTCAAAAAAAAAAAATTTCACCAACTTTTTTATGGATTGAGAGGTAAGATTTGAACTTACATACAGAAAACAGAAAGGAATATATCATGGTATAACATACATAAGCTTACTCCCTTGTTTACTCCCTCCCTCATTTCATCTGATGACGACATGAGTTGAAACGTTATGTACTTTGTTATTTAGGAAGTGTGTTATACTATAATATATTTCCTTGTCATTTCTGCCATATAGATTGTCAATTATCGATGCATTGATTCACTGATATAGATACTTCCAAAAAATAATGTAATTATCAATTTAATCAAGCAATATACCACACGACTTACCTAGTAATGGCAGATGTTCTCTATAAAATGATCCTCCTTTAGCATCATTTACAACCTTCAGATCTGCCTGGAAATGAACAAAAAAACAAGTATAATTATTTACATTTTTCTTCGGAGAAGTTGATGAACGATAAAGAATTGAATCAAATAGATGGATTAAAGATAGATCTGCTTTGACATACAAAGATGTGTGATGACAATAAATTGCCTTCTGTTATACTTTCTGAGAATATATTCAAGACATTTTATGAACCAATCAATGTTAGTGTCAGGAAAAAAAAAAAATGGCAGTCCTCCTCTCTTATCAATAATAGAATTGAAAGGCAAAAAACTATAAAATATTTACCATTCCTTCAAAACCAACTCTGTACAAATTTTTAGCACCATTGTCCCATAACACATAAGCAGCACTTCTTGGACTTGCAGCACTCCAATCCTGAAAGTCAATTCTTGCATATTGGTTCATAATTTCAAAAGAGACATTCATTCACCAAATTATTCCCTTCCGAACAAAAAGTTGTCAAAAGGTTGACAGAAATTGGGACAATAAAAAAACACAAATAATTTGACAATTGTGACCTTGGCCAGTGTTTCACAGAGAGTAGACTGAGGTCAGCACAGTGAAACTAACTAAACATTACTAAGCTAATCAGTACTTTGAAATGTATAGTTCTTGCTTTGGACCTAAGCCAGTGCTTTGTTGAGTTTTATTTTCATTTCACCTTAACAGCTGTCTGAATAAATATGAAGAAAGATTTGCAAATCAGCAGAATTAGACAAGAAGTTGTACCTGTATTTCTGTTACTTTGCCTCTCCTTCCATTTCCTCCATCTTGATCTTCCCACTGCCAGTCTACACCACGGACCACTCTGGCACCTGGATAAATTCCACGTGCCGTCGTTTTCTTAGTCTTCCTTCGTGGCTCTAATAATACCCTGAAATTATCAAAGTCAAATGGTGTAAGTGATTTGACAAAGTTTAGTTTTAACTTAGTCTGTACAGCATATTCAAAAACTGCTAGGAAAGTCAAATTTGATCTCTATCACCTTGGTAAGCACAAATTTAGAAAGTCATCTAAAATCTTACACTTACCGTTCATTTCCAGGCACTGTAATTCTATAAAATCTATGTCTTAAATTATGTTTATCACCATGATAACACACTGAACATAAATCATAATTAGGACATTCTGCACATTTCCATCTAATACCAAATATAGGCTGCTGTCTACAAGTATCACACATAGTTCCATCATGTTTAATGCCTGAAAATTACAAAATCAAAACCAACTTGAAAATTCATTATCAAATTCAATTTCAAATGAGAAACAAAGTGAGAATAATTCTTCATTAAATCAAGACAAATCAAGTTTTAATTAATAATCCTTTATATACATAGGTCATTAGATTTTAAATCATAATTTAGTATTTAAAATGCGTGAATTACCATGGAACTTTAATATAGACTATAGCCTAACTGGAATTAACATCAGTTTTGTTTTCCAAAATTATTTCAGATTAAATTGATAAAAGTTTGTATTTAAAATTGCCATGGAATGGAATATAAACAGAGAGCTTCTATGGAATGTTCTGAAATTTTCTTTAATATATTAAGCAAAATCTGATTTACCGATGACTATGTGACAGTGCCTACAATATGTGTCAAAATGCACTTATTAAATAGTTTTTTCTTCTTATTTTCTTGGGAACCCTCTCAGGCGCTCCATCTATGGCCATGGGAGGCTTGCACCTATGGTGCTTACAAGACCACAGAGCTGTCACAATTTGAATCTCAATCTTGACAGTTGTCCCCTGGTAGACTACATCTATTCGAACCACCGGTTCACTATCACTGATTTGCAGAGACACTAATATTAGGCCAAGGTAGAAACTGCAAATTCGAGCAATAGCCTATCAATATCATGATCTTGAAATAGAGATTTTTTGATAAACTGAAATATTAACCTGTTGGTGCGCTGTCTAATGCCCTTAAATCATAAGCCCCTGCACATCTATAATTTGCAGCAGTTCCATTATCCCATACCACAACCACTTCTTCTGGTGACTCAAAATTTCTGACAGTTCCAACATGCCCCTCCCCACCATCCTGTTTTCCCCATTTCCAATCTGGACCTCTCACTACTCTTGCCCCTACTCCGTCTGTGATATTCATTCGGAGTCCTCGATTAGTGGCTCCAGAAGCCGATTCCATATTTATATTCACATCCATTTTCAGGGATTTCAGGCCACTATTTCATACATATTTGTGGAAAAAAAACTTTTAGACTATTTTTGTGATGACTAAAAAAATGAAAAAAATGGCAGAACACCTAATTCTCGATTAATCACGGAACTTCTCGCATTGACGCGAGATGTCAATAAAGGAATGGCGAGTGTTGGAAAGAAGCAAACTAGACATCGTTCTCGTCGAAGATTAGCTGCTATAAGTTTTCTTTCAAATATTTCATTAGATGGCAGCCATAGGGACACAAATTTTGCTCCAGTGAAGAGTAAAAAATTAGCCTTAGATGAATCAGAGAAGAAAACAAAAGGAAAATCTGATAAAAACCAAATTACTGGAGAGCAAGGATCAAGTCGTAATGAAAGGGAAACAACCCATGGAAAAAATGCGAAGAGGAGTGGTGAAAAGTCAAAATCAAAGAGTGTGAATATTGGAAGCAGTTCCAATGAGAAATCAACTGATGCATCTTCGAGTCCACAAGCAAGGTGGAGGTACATTCTGTTAAATTGATTATGTAGTTTGTTCACAAGCTTGTAATGTACATGATTAATCTTATGTAAAAAGTAATAGACGTACCAGTATTTGAATTTACAGTGGTGTAACCTATTTTCGTGCATATATGGTTTCAACCCCGAATTTCGTCAAAGTTAAAAAAATGAAAAAGTTTTTTATGTCTTAGATGTTTCATCAGATATTCTACAAAATAATTAAAATTGGTTTGTTTCAATTTTCTTTATGAATCCTTCACTTTGACCCATATTTCATGAGCAACCAACTCAGCAACGGCGGCAGAATGCGTCACCTATTTTCGTGTACAATGTTTGATCTATAAATAAATTGAGAAAAACATGTTGTATGGATACCGGGTGGTATAATTAACTTCTCTTAGTATTTATCTTTAATATCAATTCATTATAACTAGTGACAATTCTTTAAAGAACCACGATTTTATAAAAAAATAGTGACTGACAAAATAAGATATGTAGCATGATTTATTGCTAAAAGTCACTGAAACAACATAAGAATATGGCCCACTTTGTGTTCCATAGAAATTTTCTGCTGAATCTGGAATCCGCTTGTTGATCGCGTGACTTCATTCGTTGGACTACATTCTAGCAGACGACACTTGGAATTCCAATTACCGCTGGGGATTATATTAAGGAAATTCGGCCAATAAAAAATGGTGACGTTTGGTAATAACTGAAATATGTCATTTTGTATTTGTCAAAGTAGACATTAATAAATTTTACCTTGCTTGAAACTACTGGATTCATTCTACTAGTTGATATTGTAGAGATAACACATGTTTATCAAAACAAGCAAATGCAGAGGTCACACCTGTAGATTATTAATCGGAAGTGCACATAAAATAGGTTAGCAGGAAATTAGGTTACTGTATAGTAAGGACCATCCAAACCTATCCTCATATTCAATGAGTCATTCTCAAAGATGCCAAAGGCTAATGATCATAGTTTATTGGTAGTGTTAGGACTTTCGATCACTCCTATATGACACTAACTATATAATTGATGTTGTAGGCCTACCAGTGGATTGGCTTACTCTGTTCGTTCGACACCTATAAGTAGGCATATTCTGCATTTTAGTTGGCCTAACAATATGAAAATTGGCATTATTAATGATTAATTAACTTAAAAGACAAATTTGATTGGTTTTAGGTCGTCCACATTTACATCAGATCGAGAGAAGACTGTAAAGCAGAAATTGATGCAACTGTTGCCTGAATCATTACAACCAGTGAAAGAAAATGTTTGTGACAATGAGAGTAAGTTTTTGTGTAATCACTTGACACAATCAAACTAAAGTAATAAATAATATAATATATTAAGTCTATAAATTTGCGAAATGTAGCTGGAATTTTAAAACTTGCTTATTCTATTCTAATATCTGGCATTGGAATATAATATATTTTTAAATTTCACTAAATGAAACATTCTTTTTAATCATTGGAACTCAAATGGAGATAAATTAAATATTGATGTATTTTGGTTCTTGATATTATATTTTTCAACAGAAGAGGGTCGTTATAGACGATCAAGTTCTATGTCTGCTGATTCCAATGACTCATTATCAAAGGAAAGTCATTTTCTTTCACCTGATAGAAAAAAATCAACTAAAAATGGCAGGTGAGTACCATAAATATTTCAATGCAGAAATAAGTTCTAATCACTTTTTGTTTGAATGGACCTTGGTTTTGTACAGATATGTCCCTGAATTGTTTGTGTCCAAAACTTCAACTAATCCGTAATAATTATATTGAACATTTATAACATATAGCTCTACTACTTTATACACCTTAATCCCAATTACTGGTGGCAGTTTTCAAAATGTACATTTCAAATTTATATGGGTCGGTTTCTTTCTTAAATTGTAAGCTTATACGAAATTAGACTATATCATTTTTGTGTTATTGTAGAAAATCACATATAGATGAAGGTAGACCAAGACATCATTCTGGGTCCAGATCAGTGTCCTCACAGGAAGGTTTACCATCTATGGGTTTACAAGCTATTAGGTTTGAGGAGGGACAGGTTAGTATCTGGTTAAATATGGATGATTATATTTTTTTGCCAAATCCAAAATGTAATGAGGAAACTGTCTTGACCTCTTTTGGAACTAATCCCAACCCTTCAGATAAGTAAACAAGTACCATTACGGCTCCTATTATCAAGAGTAGGAATTGACTGACAAGCAAATGTATATCAGTTTCAAAACGCCACTTCTCAAACAGTTTCTCAACCTTCGTTTGGCAGTATTGTATTCTAACTTGAGCTTGGTGAATCTTGCCAATTAGTCTGCAGCTATATCTCTTGGAAATGTTTTTTTCATAAGTATTCATAACTATTTACGAATGGATGTCTTGATGACTTATCAATGGTTCTTTTAATACAACATGTCTAAATACTTTGAGTGAAAATTTCATGTGGAACATATCTTGATGCTTTGATGGTCTACACATGACATTTTCTCTTTATTATTGAATACATATAGGACATATCATACAGTGGCTATTTAGAACCATCTAAAAAGACAAAGAAGATACGAAGAGTGTTATCTGAGACAAAAGTTCTAGGTGATAGTTCAACGCCTGTGGGTAAGATATTATCATGAAATAGGTGATGGTGTTTTTTGGAATTTTAATCACTTTCAAATCTATTCACAAGCTATCTTTGCACACTTTTTGTTATTATGCTAGTGTTATAGAAATATTCATTTCCTAATCATAGGGAAATATCTCTCAAATAATTTGTATAACATCTGATAGAAATACGTTTTTTAAAATTGCTTTGTTGACTTACAAACCTTTTACTCTAATAAGTTTACTTTACTTAACATGCAGCTTATGTTACTAACTGTTTTACTTCTAGCCACTTTGTTATGATAAATATGTTTCAAAGTTAAAATAAAGGAAATTTCAGCAATGCCTCTATTTAGAATTAAGTTCATTTGCCTGACTTAAACTATGTGCACTCTTAAATGAAAGCTTTCTTTAACACACTATTATTATAACAAATGTCAAAAATATACAAACTTAAATGCTTTTACTTTTTTGCCTGGTGGTAGATACTACTTTCATTGCTGCCAGCTTGTTTTATAAATTAAAATCTACTACAAAATCAGCCTTTCTAGTTTGACAATTTGACTGCATTACAAGGACACTTTGCAAAACAGGTCTATTGTTAGGTGTATTCATAGTGAACAGAAAATCCAACTTTTATTATTAATAAATCTGTTTGAAGACAAGCAGTTATGGCTCAAATTTAGCTCACCTTGCTTATCTGTGCTTGGAAGATTTAACTTTTGAAACTTATAATTTACTTCTGTATAATTTAAAACATTTTTGAGCTTCTATGCATATTCAGGCTGCTTTTTTGAGCTGCAAATTATTAACTTTATTTTGACTTTTGGCATTTTAAAAAGAAACGCTTGCTGTTAACAATCTAACATATCGAAAAGGGTTTGACTCTAACAAAGAATTTTGAAAAATAAAATCACATTGTTATGCTCTTAATGGTAATCTTTTGTCCATGTAACTGTCTTCTAGATTTTATTTCAACATTTTGATGTTATAAAAATCAAAAACATTTGAATATATCTAAGGGTGTGTTTTTGTTAGCATATACAAGAACACTATATAGTAATTTCTACAAAATAAACAGAATGTAGATCTGACTTTATTGCTTTGAATATAACTACCCTAAAAAAATGTGCCCTTGTTTGTTTTTAGATATCTTTACTATCTCTTAAACTTAATTCATATGATGCATGCCATTTTATTTCTTAAACCTAAAGCAAAAATGAAGCCAAATGCTTGAATGAGATACCTCAGCTTTCAAAGGCCCAATTATCTCACTGCTGTTATAAATGTTCTATGTTTTTAAGTATGCTGTGTAATTGTGTGTTTCTATTAGTTACAGGACGAGACTATGTGAGGAGTCATTCATATGACCCAAGCATGCAGTCGTCAAACCACTTTTCTGTACATACTGTACTTGAAAGAGGTATTCTCCATTTTATTTTCAATAATTTTTCTTATTTCAAATAATGCTTAAGTACTGTTCTTTCTATATTCATTGAAAAAGCATGCATTATTTTTACTTGTCGTGAATACAAGTCCTTATTCATACCTGTTTTGAAACATTGTTCTATATTTTTATAATTGGCAGAGACTTTTTACAACATTAATCTTATATTATGTAAAATATACACAAAATTTGGTTCCACAAAAATCCTGAGTTTTTACTTGAAATAACATACTGAACACTTGTCACTTAAACAAAGATAGTGGACCACAGCCATATACGAACATCACGGCATGCGGATGGTAAAAACGAAACATCCATTTAAAGTTTCATCAAAATCGGTTGAAAACTAAGAGAGTAATAGCATATTCAAGATTATGGGCAAGGGCAGTAACTCTGCTTCTAACGGTCGAAAATAGCTCAAATTCAAACTTGATCTTCGTTTTATGAATATGTATACACATACCGAATTTCATTTGATTCCATCAAGTTTTTAGAGCGTTTACAAGCAAATGTTGACGGACCGACAGACGGACAGAGTGTTTACGAGCAATTGATGTTGATAGAAGCACTTACTGTATAGAGGGCGATAACTCCTCAAAACTGACTTAAGAGGCCTAAATCTTGAAAAAGCCTTAAATTTAATCAGAAGTAAGCTAAACTTTCTAAAACCTTTCGATTTAGGTCCAATAACATCCATTTTAAGTTTCATCAAAATCGGTTGAAAACTAAGAGAGTAATAGCATATTCAGGATTATGGGCCAACTTGATCTTTGTTTTATGAATATGAATACACATACCGAATTTCATTTGATTCCATCTAGTTTTTAGAGCGTTTACAAGCAAATGTTGACGGACAGACAGGTGTGCCGACAATATACGTCCAAATATTCTTTATCTTATTAAGGTAGTATTTAGATTATAGTGGTCTATTAGCTCTCTCATTTCTCATCTTATTTTTATCTGGTTATACCTTATACATATACAGTGGTGTAACCTATTTTCGTGGATATAAGGATTCAACACCGAATTTTGTCAAAGTTAAAAAAGTGAAATCTTTTTTTTATGTCTTAGATGTTTCCTCAGATATTCTACAAAATAATTAAAATGGGTTTATTTCGATTTTCTTTATGAATCCTTCACTTTGAGCCATATTTCATGAGCAACCAACTCGGCAACGGCGGCAAAATGCGTCACCTATTTTCGTGTACAATGTTTGATCTATAAATAAGTCTAGAAAAACACGTTATATGGATACCTGGTGGTATAATTAACTTCTCTTAGTATTTATCTTTAATATCAGTTCATTATAACTAGTGACAATTCCTTCAAAGAACCACGATTTAAAAAAAAATAGTGACTGACAAAATAAGATACCGGTACGTAGCGTAATTTATTGCTAAAAGTCACTGAAACAACATAAGAATATGGTCCACTTTGTGTTCAATAGAAATTTTCTGCTGACTCGGAATCCGCTAGTTGATCATGTGACTTCATTCATAGGACTACATTCTAGCAGATGACACTTGGAATTCCGATTACTGCTTGGGATTATAAGGAAATTCGGCCGATAAAAAATGGTGACGTTTGGTAATAAGTGAAATCCGCCATTTTGTATTTGTCAAAGTATACATTAATATATTTTACCATGCTTGAAACTACTGGATTCATTCTACTAGCTGATATTGTACAGAAAACCCATGTTTATCAAAACAAACTAATGCGGAGGTCGCGCAAGGTCGCACATGTAAATTATTAATCCTTTCCGGAAATCCACGAATAATAGGTTTCCACAAAATTAGGTTACTTGACTGTATATACTTTTTTATTAGGGTAAACCTTTTTTACTGTAAAGATGCTATCAAGATTTTAATAGATATTTAATTTATTAAGTGATAAAAGCTTGTGGCGTTCACATGAAATTAAACGTGCCAGAAAAAAATGTTGTTAGCTTTACATTGTTGTAGGATACAAATACCCTACCATAAACAAATAGAAAAGTTATGACTAATGTCTCACCAAATCTATATAGGTTCACAACAGTACATATCATCCAAGCTTTTTCAAAAAGCAACAAAATCTCACAAATAATTTATTTTTTAGCTCAGATGTAGTTTTTTTTTTTAAATGATAAATTATTTTATGATAATATTTTTAGTGCCAGAAGAATGTGAAGATTATAAACCTTGTTATGATCCTAATGTATTAGATGATCCTGATCTACAGCTAGATACTTGTAGAAAGTCACATTCTGTAAGTACTTATTAATATTATGCTTCATGTCTTTTGACATATTGGAATACTAATTGTCTTGAATTCTAATTGAGATGTCTTGGGGTGAAAATTTGATGAATTTATTTGCTGTCTGTTTCTTAGATTTCAATGATTGATGGAAACCTTTTTCATATGGAAGACTCTGTGCCAACTTTGGCAAGCTGCTCACTGAACGTATTGCATACTTTGTATGAGACTCTATTTAATAATTAATGTTTATTATGTTTTGAATTGACCTATTTCAGTCTTCGGTGAAACCATCTTATATAAAGAAAGAATTGAATGAAAAGTTTAGAGAGAGATATCCTTACATTCAACTTACTTTGACCAAATTGAGAAGGTATTTGAAATGTTTTTCTCTGGAGGTTAAAGATAATATTATTATTACTATACTCCACAAAAATTTTAATATATGAGACTTATATAATATCATATAACCTATTGCATTAAATAAATAATTATTATATTTTCAGTTTAAAAAGAGAACTTCTCAATATTGCTCATACAAAGGTAAATAGCTCGTATCAATATGTATTTTAATATTGAGAACAAAATTGTTGTTGTATTTTCTTGTGTCCAACTTTAAATTGAAATGCTATGTTTTATACATAAAATGTCTCAAAAACATTTATTTGAAATAAAAACAGATAGATAGGACAATCAGATCATAAATTGTGTACATTTTTACTTAAACAATAATTGAAAATTTTTTTTGTAGTGTGGTGTTGATTTATGGACCATTGCTCAAGCATATGTTTTCTTTGAGAAAATTATATTGAAGGTAAGTCAACTCTGATTTCCATGAGTAGAATAGAAACATTTTAAATAATACTGCAATCTAAGCTAATCTCAAAGTGTATTCATTACTTTATGTTATTTGATTTCCAGCATATTATGATAAAAGTCTTATTTCCCGGTGTCAAAGTTGGTTATGCTTTTTGTAAGACATGGTAAAAACATTTTTTTAAGTAAAGAAATTAAGCCTTGAAAATATCAGTTTTATATTGATTGTTCTGTATTTTCAGCATCTGATTAATAAAAGTAATCGTAAATTTTGTGCTGCAGCCTGTATGTTTTTGTCAGCTAAAATGAATGATGTGAAGGGTCAGGAGTTTGATAAACTTTTGGAGGTGAGTAATTTAAAATAGGCTGTAAGACTATATAACTATTTAACTGTGTTCTGTTTATACAGAGTTATTTCTCTTCACCCATGTCCGTCCGTCCACAATTGCTCGTAAACACTCTACAAGTCACAATTCTTTACGGATTTTGACGAAACTTGCTCAAATCGTTTATTATCACCCAAGGATGAACCCTATCAAAAATCAATAAAATCGAAAAATATTTAAATTGAGTTATTGCCCTTGTTCTTCAAAACGCGTTCGATTTTTAGCTCGTAAACACTCTACAAGTCACAATTCTTTACGGATTATGACGAAACTTGCTGAAATTGTTTATTATCACCCAAGGATGAACCCTATCGAAAATCGATAAAATCGAAAAATATTTAATATGAGTTATTGCCCTTGTTCTTCAAGACATGTTTGATTTTTAGCTCGTAAACACTCTACAAGTCACAATTCTTGATGGATTTTGACGAATCTTGGCATGAGTGTCTGTTATCAAGCAAGGAAAAACCCTATTGAAAATCAGAAGAATTGAAAGTATGAGTTATTGCCCTTGTTCTTGAAAACGCTTTCAAATTTAGCTCGTAAACACTCTACAAGTCACAATTCTTGATGGATTTTGACGAATCTTGGCATGAGTGTCTGTTATCAAGGAAGGAAAAACCCTATTGAAAATCAGAAGAATTGAAGTATGAGTTATTGCCCTTGTTCTTGAAAACGCTTTCAAATTTAGCTCCAAAACACTATAAGGCATGATTGTTGCTGGATTTTGACAATACTTAGTTTTCTTATTCAGTCCCTTTCTTATAAGATTGAATATTTGCCTTCTAGAGTTCACGAGCTAAAAATTGAACACGTTTTCAAGAACAAGGGCAATAACTCATACTCAGTATTATTCAGTATTGCCCTAAAGAGTTTAAAAGAAGTGTATGACTGAAGGTTGAATATTTCATACTGGTGATTGTTACTGTACTGCTAAATATTTTTATTCAAAATCAAAGCTGCCAGTGTGTGTATATTACCTTGCCTGGCAAGCTATCTTATACTTACTACAGGCACATGAGTAGTCTTGGTCAAGAGACTACAGTCTTGTCAAGAGTTTCATCGACCTGTTGCAAGCACACAAGGAGACAGTAAATCTTTTCCACTATGTGAATAATTACGTGCATATCATGCCATTGAAAGGAAAATTAATCGATTTTGGCATACAAAATTGTAACATTGTACATCAGATGGATTTATCAGAGCTACCTAGCCAAATTATTGATTCTTTGAGTGTGGCTGAAATCCATGGTAATTCTGTAAGATGCCATACTAATTCTGTATATTTCATTGTAGACTTTGGAAGATGATTTTCGGCTCCATAGAAAAGAAATGATATCGTTTGAGTTTGCAGTATTGGTAGCGTTGGAATTTGCTTTATTAACCCCAGACAACGAAATATTCCCCCATTATCAAAGATTACATGATAAGTTATAGCATTAATCAATTTCTTACACCCAATTTTAATTCTTTGTTTCTTAGATCTGAGGATGAAAAATTTTGGCTCTTGATTCAACCTTGTTTGCATGTCATAGTTAATATAGTGATATATAGTGATGTTAATTTGTTACATTTTCACATTTAGATCTCTCAAAGTTAGGGCTCATGATTCAATTGTGTTTGCCAGTCATGGCTGTAATCCAACTCAAAAACGCTATTAAGTGGTTCATTAATTTTTCAATAAAACATATGCGTCATAAATTGTTAGGTTTAAATGCTCATAAATACAGATTTCATCAGTATAGTATATGCACTAGTTTTCTGAGAGACAAAGAATTAATCTTGAGTGGCCACAAGAACTTTCAAAAAAACAGTGATCAAATTTTATAAACTTAAAATACAAAATTGATAAAAGGTTTTATGTTCTTTCCACAAATAATTTTGAAATTTTATATGATTTTGTATAATTAAAGTATTTTGATATATATTTCATTAGAATAAATGATTAGCAAGTAATGTAAAAGTCACTATATATCTGTTGTTAAAAGTCATGTCTGTTAAGAGGTATAAGTAATTCATTTTTTCTTTTTGATGACAATTTGAAAAATGACTTTCATCATCAGATTTTGTTTTTTTTGCTCTCAGTTACTCGCTTGATAACATATACTCAGCAGAATTATTATGGAACCAAAGATATTTATAGTAACTATTTTCTGCTCAATCAATATGGAAGACCGATCAGTTCAAAATCCAATGTTCTTAATTCTTAATATCTAATTCTTATTTGTAAATTCTTATTTCTTCATTCGTAGGCCAAACTGAACATTTGTGTCAAAAATTTAACATCTGTTCGTCAAAACCAATATTTGAAGTTTAAAACTGTCATATGTAAAGTAAAACCAAGTTTTGTAGTAGGAACTTGTCGTTATTAATGTGTCATCTATTTTTACAGACAATCCTTAAATAGCAATTCCATAATAGTAAATTTCTACTAACAAGTGTGAAATGCAATATATAAAAACCAACTCTAGCTGAACAGTTGTGTACATTCAAATCTTAAAATAGATATCTCCAGAAACACATTAATAAAGACAAATGTTAAATTCTTAATACAAAACTTAGTATTACTATACTAACCACAATATTAAACTTCAAATATTGATTTTGATGAGCAAATGTTAAATTTTAAGAATTAAGAACATTTAATTTTGAGCTGATCAGTCTTTCATAAATGTATGCTATTACAATTCAATATACTACAACCAAATATAGATATTTGTTCATAATCTAGAACAAGTCCAATTATAGTAAATGCTATGTTGAGATAATTGAATGAGCTCAATGTGTGTGTTTTTTTTTTTGGCTAAAACAACCTTTTATATAACACAAAAAAAGAGTCAAAAGACTGCTTGCTTTTGTTTGGAACAGTCCATGAAAATGTAAAATATCTTTGACTTACTATTTTTTTTAGGAAATGGAAATGGTTTCAGAGTTATTGCCCTTGACGTAGTAAAAACACATTAAATTTGGCTTGTATGCACGATAAAGGCTTTGGTTTTTATCAGATCTTGTTGAAACTTGGTATGCATGTATATATTGATGAGATTTTAGTCAAATTTGAAACTGGTAATAATCGGAGAAACGGTTTAAGAGTTATTATGATTCACTTAGTAAAAACACATTAAATTTGGCTTGTATGCACAATAAAGGCTACAATTTCTATCTGATCCTGATGAAACTTGGTATGCATGTATATATTGACTAGATTTTGGTCAAGTTCGAAATTTGGTATAATCTGATGAATGCTTTCGAAGCTATTGCCTTTGACTTGGCTTGTAGGTGTGATAGAGCATGCAGTTTTCATCTGATCTCGATATAACTTGTTATGCATGTATATATGGACAAGATCTCAGTCAAGTTTGAAATTGGTATTAATTGGATGAATGGTTTCAGAGTTATTGCCCTTATTCAATGTGTCAAATTTGGCTCGTGGATAGAGACTACAGTTTTTATCCGATCTTGATGAAACTTGGTAAGATAGATAGCAAGTAGATACTGATGAGATCTCAGTCAAGTTCGAAATTGGTATAAGCACATGAAAGGTTTCAGAGTAATTGCTGTTGTGTGCTCATGTTTTAATTTGATGATAATTTAATGAACTGTTTTTGTGGGTTTGCCTTGACTTGAAAATTGATTATTAAGCCACTACAGACTTTGTTATCATTTCTGACTGCTGGAAGTTGGCTTATGTTACCTTGCCTAGCAATCTGTCTTTATTTTGTTGAGTTTGTTTATAGCCTTTTCTTGCTGAATGATTGAGACTAAGATGTGTTAAAAGTGGTGTCTGACACAAAATGTTGTTTTAGATATCAAGTTCAAGTTTTGCAATCAATTTCTTCATAGAATGAACAATTATTTAGGTTATAGATATCAAATTTCTATGTCAGATTCTGTTTATGATAAGCAAAGTTCTGCAAGTTTTCATTTGATATTGTTATTAATAAAGATATATAATAGCCTTTAAGCCTTTAGTTGAGGTCCAATTTATAGACTAATTTGAAATGAACATTTGTTGAATATGCGAGATTCTCTGTTTGAAATGTATGTCTTTGTGGCAAAATACATTATTAGTGTGGGTCCATAATTTCTGACAGCTATGATCAAATTTGTCATTGTGTGATATTGGTTGATTGTGAAAATAAGAATGTTGGTCCAATAGAAAGGATGGTGTATTCTCTTATTTTACTAGAGTCAATCTGATTAAAATGCAGATCTTGTTTACTGTTTTTTCAGGTGATAACTAGACTTGCCGCCCTTGATCTTACAATTTCTTTTTAAATCTTGTTTATGTGGAATCTTGACCCAATAACATCAAAAGTTGTCATAATCTATGCTAACCAATCAAACACACTGTAAAAAGTGATCACACTTATGGTAAAGAAATCTATTATTGAACAGAGCATTTGATTGGTTGACCCAGAAAGTGAGATTTGTAACAATATAATCAGATCACGGAACAAGTGGATTTGGCCTGAGAAAAACATGAAACAAAAGCACCCAGATTTGTATTTCAATCAGATTCATCCGGCAGATTAGCCTTACCATTAATAACATTAATACTTGTACATATAAACATTTCCTAACAGTATATTTTATTTAATTTATAAGCTACATCACTTTCTGACTCTATTAATGTACATAATGTATAGATTCACATTTATACAAATTGATATAGCGATTTTTTATGTTCAAGTTTTTTTTATAAGTATAGTCATTGAAAGATATTGATATGTACATCTTGGATAACTGTACAGTCTACTGTCATGTGTATAATTATCTTTTAGTAATTGTGTTGTCATTTTGTTTTGTTTGTTGTTTTTGTTAACTTGTAATTTATTTAAAATGCTTAAATGATATATAATTGGATGAGTAGCCTTATTTACAGATACAGATGGGTTTAAATTTTCTAAATATTTGATTGAGATATCAAATTCTAGCCATTGTTAGACCTTCGCAAAATACGATTAGTCATTTCATTCAAAGATTGCTATGGATCCTTAACAAGATTTTCATTTTAAAATGCTTCTGGTAGATTTTGTGAATTGTTTGAACCACCAAAGAAACTATGGATGTTTTCACTGAAATCAAAGTCACTTGAGATTGGAATGTGCGTCAACTTTGTGTTTGTGGAGTAGCATAAAAATGAAAGGTTACATTATATTTATCATAATTGTCAGAATTATTTTGTTTTACGTTTATACACTACAGTTGATCTCACTCACTATTAAGATTTAAAAGGAGTCACTCAGGTAAAGAAATTGTAAAATTTGAGATTTAAAAAGTATTCAGAAAGTGTGATTGGTACTTTATATTTGTATACTCAGTATCAAAATTTTCATAGGATTTGAAACACCATTCATTAAGTTTAACACTTGTCTGGGTGTGCTCCTTAAAGGTTCATTAAAATTAGTCTTTAAATGACCATTGGACAATTTAAGGCCTAGCCTCAATTTGTATCCTATATATTAAAGCTATCATGTTCCTATGAAAGTAAGAATAAATCAACTCTAATAAAAACGAAACTATTGGTCTTGTTGAGTCAAGGATGTTCTGATTATTTGTGTGTGATTTGTTTCGTTTCATGATTTAGAATATGAAGCTGGTAAAATATAAGTATCAAAGGACTAGTATCAATAGACTTTCTATTAAACCTCCTTAAAAAATCCATCTTTCTTTCATAATAACATGATAGCTTAAAGTTATTAAATGTTTGTTTTAATTGCATGTGTTATTGAAATCTCATGATGAATTATATATCTGTATGTATGTGTATAGTAAGATACTTAATATACTGGTTAAGGTACATCTATCAGTTTTGACAGGAATAGAGTGATATATTTATCATACAATAAAAGTCATTTATTCATCATCTTATTATAATAACCTTCCTTCTTTAATGACGCAAAAACAAAACTGGTCGGTGGTAATTGAAAACTTCAATAATATGGACCAATCAGAGACCATGCAATAAGGATATGATATATTAATAGTAATATAAATGAACAGATAAATTTCTGCCTAGTGCGATAGCATGTCAACGAACCTGTTCTGGTTGTCCTTACAATTTTGCAATTTTATATTACCTTGTCTTAGATTCAACAGTTATATTTCAACGAGCAGAATTATGTTCAAGATGAGCAGTTATATGTTCAAGATGTGCTTGGGGATCTAGGAAGGATTTTGTCCATCTATTTTGATTTGTTAGAGTTAGAAGATACATCCAATAGATTCAATGCGGTATACCAGGTACTCATAATGTATAAATATATGAATTATCACAATAAATCACACATATCCTTTATTTTCACAGGTACTTTTTCTCACATTGATCATTTTTTGTTATACTGAATATTTTTTTAAATCGATTCAGTCAGTTAAACCAAGCCTCTCACGATTCTCTTTGTCATTATAATGATCTGATTCTAATTTTTCATCGATAGATAATTCTACATATATTTTTCCATCTTGAACTATTACTTTATGTGTCCTTTGTTTAATACCTTTAGATTTTATTTCTGGTGGTTTGGATAAATCAAATGGATTTATAGACTGAAACATAAAGAAAAAATTATAATCTTTAATCAAAAAATAACACAATAAAGAACATTTTTAACACCCCGTCCCCAAAAACACCAAGTAACACAGGCAAGCCCAAAACACACACGCCCTTACACAAAACACATCCTCCCTTTTGTACATAACACTGGTTCATAACTGGATGTGATACTAAAGTTAGACCCTTCAGAATCTAATCAAAACATCCATAAAAAGTGTAATAAATCATTGTGTACAAATTTGCCGAACTAAATTAAAGAGATGGATTTCCTTAAATGTGTTCTCCACCTTTTATGTACTTATTAATAATATTCTCACCTCATACAGTCCTTCGCCAGTATCAATACATATTTTAAAGTTGTGCCATGGACATTTGATACAAGCTTTACCTCCATAATCCTGAATAAAGAAGAATGACGATGCCAATTATGTTGTTTCACATAATACAATATACTAAAGCGCTTACAACCGCAATAGAAAATAGATATCCAAAATGAAGCCTTGTCGGAGTGCTAACAAACCATGTTTCCACTTCAGGTAACTAGCTAACAAACCTTTAAAGGAATTGCAAAGAGGTTTTCTAAACTTTTTATGTGTGTGATGGCATCTATTTGCACAGTTGAAATAGAATTGTGAAACTCAAAGACGTTGGATTAAAAATCAGACAGTTGCAAATCCAAGCTTTAGTGTTCCTGATACATATACTTAAGAAGTTAAAGAAAACTCTGTACAAACCCTTAGTGATATTTGATACAAAATACCCTGAACACCTTCAGTCAATTCAATTGGCGATTACTACGAAACGAGCTTCAGATTTGGGCATGTTTTGGAGTTTTTATACGCCCACATTATAATGTGGTCGTATATTGTCATCGCCCCTGTCCGTCAGTCCTTGATTTATGAAAAACGCGTAAAAATTTGTTTGTGAACACAATAGAGAGTGCAGTTCTCATCCGATTTAAATGAAATTTGGTGTGATCATTTATAATGATGAGATCTTAGTCAAGATTGGATTTGACAATTTTTCGATCAATGGAATTTGAGTTATTGCCCTTGACTTAGTAAAAACGCATCAAAATTTGTTGGCAATAGAGGTGACAGTTTATGTCAGAATTTTATTAAATAATGTGTGTTTGTTTAAATCAACAATATCTTGCACAAGTTAGATTTTTGGTATGAATTGACAGAGACTGCCCTTGATATACTAAAAATGTATCGGGAAAGTGGGCGTATCTTGCTAGGCAACCACTTGTTGGTTAATGGAATTGTTTTGCTTTTACAGAATTTTATTCGAGCGACAACTGAAATGATTGAAGAATGCTGAATGCTGAAGAAGAAATGATAGTTACCAATGGAAGTAGGTATGGTCAACGTACCGTAGCTGATAATACCTGATTTAAATTGATATTTGGTTCTTTACACTTACCTCTATATCACCATTAAATAATGGACCTCCTGCATCTGTAATTGATCAATATATACTGTTTGACATGCCTTCTTAGTAGATATGATTCGAGAGCAGGCATTGGAACCCTTCTAAAATATCTTAACAAGTTAGACATCTCCTGTATTCTTTAGCTTTAGGGAGTCGGATTGCCCCCAAATCAATATTTTCCGTTTGGCCAAGGCAAAGGATTTGTTTAATATATCTTTGCGTCATGCCCCGAATCCCCCCCCCCCCCCCCCCCCCTCGCTTGTGAAAGTTTCCTATTTTGAAAAGAATATTAAGCCCTCTAAATACTTAAGGTTCACATCAGGCCACCTAAAATCTCTTGGCTTTAGAGGCTTCTAGCTGCACCCAGATCCGATGCCTCAAGGGCTTTCAGAACTTTGGGTCGTATTCTTAGATGAGGTACCTCTCACTATTGCACTTCTTCAGGCGTTTTCTGAAACAATCCTGCTTGGCGATGATAGCGATGTTCTTATAGATTTACAGACAGAGAATTGCCTTAAGTGTATAGGGTCGAATTTTGCATGACAAACCTGTTTAAGAAGGAGAACTTACGATAACAGAAGCTATCTAGAGCAAAATAGTCATCATTTCTTTTGACTATAAATATATCTCTGTCTTTTACGGTGACTCTCTTTCTATTGTTTGACAAAATCTCATGCTCATCACAGACGTACACTTTATTCTGAAAAAGTCCGATGGGTGTTACATAACTATAATTACAATAGCAAAATTAATCTCAAATATGTAGCTAACAATTTATGCAGCTTGTATTATATCACAGTGACTAATGAATCAGATCTGCTTTATATATTCAAATGAGGATCTAAATCAATCGATCATTCTATGAAATTTTCCATATATTTAAGTTAGTCCGTAACTCCTTAATAGCCTCTATACTCCAGACCACAGAACTGTATGTCCAGACCTAATTATATACAGATTATGTGATAAGATTGGTCTGGATGATATTGACTACAACAAGAAACCAAGAGAAATAATACTCAAGACATTGTAGAGGAAAATTGCATTAACTGGTCGAGTCTGCCAGTAAATTGATAAAAATGAATTAATATTATCTAACCATTGTGTTGAAACATAACCATCCATTCAAATACCAGAACTTGGTTTAATCCAGAGTTAAAGCCAAATCTTCGCCATAGTCATGATAAAGAAGTTGTTTATCGGATTGATCTGGAGCTATGAAAGACCAATAATTATACCATGTATTTAATTTGACATAACATAGAATTTCGACACAGGGCACAACTATCCTGACTCAGCTATACAAACTTGAATGTTTCCTAAGGATATTTTGAAATGTTTAGGATGAAATGCGGCGTTTTATTGTCTAGCTTGAAGTTTTGGCACAATTTTGATTTCTATCCTGTTATATTCGCCGATAAAAACTTAAACAAAATGCATTCAACCAAGAATTCTGAAATAATAGAAGTAATGGCTGGGTTAAGGAATAATTTGTGTGTCGTGAATTCATTAACTTTGAAATGTGATTATTCTATCCAAACGAGAGCTGTAGAAACTGCTAACTATAAAGTCAAGGGTAATAAACTAACCTTTCAAACTATTTTCCACGACGGATAGATTTGAGGTTTGTCATTTAAATTAGTCAAATGTGACAAAAGTAATTCTCGCTTTAGAAGAAACTTCGTGAAATCAGAAACAAAGTTTGCTGTACTGGGATGAGCCGACGGAGGAACGATGCCACTGTTCGTCTACTTAGTTTCGTGTGTTAATGGTACGTGAATGTCAGATGTAACTGGCACCAAATTATTTACCAGAGATTGGTTTGTGAATGAGTTCACATTTTGCTCTACAAGTTCACTCTGACTTACAGCTGACGTCTCCCGAGAATTAACAGCTAGAGTAATCTGATATACATAAACGTCCATGCGTGTTACAGGGCTCTCTACTTCGAGGCTGTCTTAAATGCTCCGCCTTGAACTACGTTCACTTTGTTCTACAGCACTTACTTCTGCACTTAGAGCTGCAGCTTCTCGCTGAGTATTTAGCAATCCGATTTCAGCTGAAATCTCGGCTTATGTTTTCTTCAGAATGGCCAGCGCTGGGAAATTATAAGGCATCATCTTAATTTACAATGTCTCTGTCATGAGAACCAGCACTGGTATTTAAGCTGACATCTTTCAGCTGTGTGTTAATTGTTTCATGAAGTTTAATTTGTCTCATGAAAGAATTGAAAAACACCACAAATCTTTTAGTTGAAGGATTATTAATCTTTTTCACTCTAGCTAATTGAAATAAACCTAGCCTAGAACTTAGTAAGTAGAATTAAGCTAAAACAGACCCAAACAATACTGACAATATCAAATTAGCCTATTTACTTATTTCCATGCTCAACAATATGTTATATGACCATATATTTACTTGGCAAACATGTTCTAATTTGACTTTAATGGTAGGTCTTATTTAATATCCGAAACAACTTTGGAACGATCCCAACCTACAAACAAACTCAGAAAAAATACTCTTCTGAATTACGAAAACTACCATCACCAATTGAGAAACGGTCACGTGACATAATGATTGAATTCCCATAATTGTGTTTTTGACAGAGGATCACAATTTTTCATAATTGGTCCTTCTGAGTCTACATCCATACACAATCCACTCTCTATATGTTTTATTGGTCCATCCTGTAATTACAATGAAAGACAGACATTATGTTATATTCAAAGACTGAAATATTATCCCTTTATACATTAAAATTAGATTGCAATTTCGTTTCCTTATTTTTTTTTTTTTTTTGCTCTCAATTGTAGATCGAAAACAAAAATAACGAAATTGTAAATTAATTTTCATTAGATTAGAGTGCTGGCTGAAAAGTTCTGAGGAAAACTGAAAGAGCCTTACCAAGTCGAAAGTTTTCTTTCATATTCTACATGGACCTTTTTATGTAAATGATTCCCATGTTATTTTTAGAAATCCTCTTTGTCCCTAATAATAGTCGTTCTGTGTGCAGAGTCAGTCAAGCGAATGTTGATAAAATGTATAAGTGGTCTACTTTCAGTTTGGCTAGCTGAAGATTTTCATGGTCATGATATATTAAATTTTTGTCCAAAAACTAAGTATTGGCCAGGCTTTCATGTGGCATATTGGGAAGTTTTCAACGAGATATCTGGAAAAAGTTTTGATAGGTTTGATTTCGTGATTTAACGTTGAAACAGATGGCAAATGAATTACCGGTTTTGGGACCTTGGACTTAGTGGTTTTGGGGTCCTTCCCCTGGGAATTTATTTTCCTGCTGATTCTAGATGGCCTATTTAAATAAAAAAAATTGTAACCCATTGGTCGCCAACCGAATTGATGAATGAGAGAGCACGTTGGTGAACACCGATGGACTCACCTCGTGCAAGATGAGTTTGTGCCTAAAATGTTAAATGTGGCTTGTGAACTTGACAGAGTTGACAGTTTATGTCAGAGTTATATGAAATTTTGTTGGTTTAAATCAATATTATTTTGGACATTTTTAGTACGATTGACATGACCTTGATATACTGAAAATATTTCACGGAAGTGGGTGTATCTTGCTAGGCAAACACTCGTTTTCAAACTAGGCCTACCCTATAAATGATACAATACAAATGTAGGACGACGAAACGTATCGCTCTAACACAATATGCACCTGATAGTGTCCACTGAAGTTAACCAGCGTCCTCTTTAATGTTTTTTTTTTTTTAAATCTAAAATATTCTCGGTAAGACGACCAGAGGTCAAAGTCATATCTACAAACTAGGTTATTTCAGCCGGTGTATTGGAGTCAAAACTTAATTCTTAGTTGATACCCCGGGATATTATATATAAGGTGAAGTCAGATACAACACTTTTCCTGCGTGTTTTATGATATTACAAAACCCTTTCCATCAGAAAGACACTCGCTGTGTTTTTTCCTATCCATAATTGTCTGATTAACGAAGAAGAAGTCCTAGTGCTACGAAATATCTACCTTTGCATGAAACCATTTGTCCTTGGTTCCGATTACACAATCTTCTATTTGAGGCCTTTTATCTCCTCCATTTCTAAAAACAACACACTGTAAAGTTGTCTTGAATAAGCCATCTTTCATTATAGAAAATCCCTAAAAAATAATTCCCAAATTACTTACATGTACTAACATTTTTCCCAGTTCCTTGCTGATTCTAAAGCGACCGTAAGTCACGGTTTACAGATCTTCATATGCGACGGTAAATAATATCAAGACACCTATAAATAGCCCGACCATCTATTGCACAGCATCCAATACCTATGATACGGCAGAACGTGTAAGCCCATGTAGGCCTATTTGTATAAAACGAACGCAACCCTAATTTAACGATGAAGACAAAACGAACTTGCAACTTTCTTTAATAATAACGCCGCCATTGTTTTTTACAGATAAATCAATAGAACGCATACATAACGCCCCATATCACCTCATAAGTTGTAAGTTTTAGTCCCAAATATGTATATTAATAACGCAAAACGCATAGAGTATGACTATAGGGAAGGTCAATTGCTAGCTTAACGTATTAACGTAAATAACTAACGTGTTTGTCATTGTATCGTAGACCGTGGGCCTAGGCCTACTTGGTGTCTGTAATTTGCACGTCATGTCAGCTTATTTGTTAACCAAAGGCATTGGTGTTATATTTACGTTTATGAGTAAACACTATCTTATAAATCCTTATTGTATTTTCAGCTAAACCGTGTAGTCGTGTATAATCGTGTAGGCTACTGTAGTAGCGATTAACGTCAACATGTGGTCGTGTAGGCCTATGCTATAATCAACTCAACGTTTGTCATATATTGTCTTGTAAACGTATTAAAACTGTATTTACACATGTATGGAACTGATGGGAATAAACATTTCAATTATGAACGGTGTTTCAACATGGGGTAACGTTCCCCGAGTAGAGTGGGCGTTGCTTGCAGCAACATTAGTTTAGAACTTTTTGGCGATTTAAAATTTGGAAGATAGTCTAGAACTTTACGGTGATTTTGAAATTTTTTCGGTCGTTTTAAAACTTTATAAGGAATATTCAAAATGAATTCAAGATAATTTTGAGCTGTGTCGGTACTAAAACGTAAATGCTAGTTTAGACGTTTGTGGTCAAATTTAATGCTAGTTTAGAATTTGACTGTAGAATAGAACTTTGATGGTGATGTAGAATATTGTTATTGGTATTTTGGACAATAGGCCTTATATGATGTGTGCAACTAAAAATAGTGGGGAATGAAAGCTGTTTTGACTCTTTTGATATTGTTTTTCGTGATGGAAAATGAAGTGTTTTACACTTGTGATAATGACATGTATACATGGTTGGAAGAAGGTACTTGACAGCCTGGACACAATACATTTGATTCTCATAATAGGCAAGTGACTCATACAAACAATGAGGCTGATCGTATGTCCAGTGTATCTAAATCTGCTAAATCTGACAAAACAACAGCTAGTTTGCTTCTGACCAAGGAAAGGGCTAAACTTGTAGAGCTAGAAACCAGAAGAGCCGCCTTTAATCGGGAGAGAAATATTTTGAAAGAAAAACTTGAGATTGAGACCAAATTAAACGAGTTTCAAATCCAGACAGAAATCGATGTAAGCCGTGCTCGTCAACATGTGCTTCAGTCTGAAAGTGAAAGTCAGGCTTT